ATGCTACGTAAAAACTTATAAGCGAGTTCGTTTTGCGTAACCTTGGCCTTAACATTGGTGAAATTGAACGTGCACACACAATAGCTCAACAGACACCCAGTAAGAATCGTCCAATCCATAAGAAATTTTTGAACTTGAAGGACAAGAGCACCATCTTGCAAAGTGCGTCAAAACTTAAAACTTTTGCATCTCCGTCCGTTTGGATAGAAGATTTCTCACCACGAATTCAACTTATTATGAAAAGGCTTCGGGACTTCGCACATGCTGAACGTAAACCTAACTAAGAGTACAGATTGCGGTTCGATAAACTGTTCTTGGGAAACAAACTGTATACCTATAATAACCCGAACGATACGATAGTCCCACTTTCGAGGTGGGACGCACCTGCGTCAACTATGCGACCCAAACAGCATTGTAGAAGCAGAACCTTATCTTTGATTGTGTCGAACTTCAGAAGCATTTTTTTAGAAACAGGGCCACTTGTGTTGTTTTCTCGAGGGCTGCTCTGCCGACATCGTACTTGGGACAGAGACATGGCTGTCCCCGGATGGGGCTAACTTTGAGCTATCACTGTCGAATAATTTCCTAGTCTTTAGAAAAGATAGAACGGCCTCTCGGGGTGGTGGTGTGTTAGTTGCTGTAAAAAACAGCTTCAACTCACACATAGCTGAAACAAAAACTAACATTGAAATTTTATGGGTCGCACTACAATCGTCATTTGTAATCTGTGCTGTCGGAGTATGTTACCGTTCGTCAAAATTGCCAGCCAACTTCAATGAAAAACTGAATGATTCGCTCAGCCTCATACAGTGCACTTATCCCCAGTCCCCTATTTTTCGGCAGGTGCTTTTAATCACCCAGGCATAAACTGGCGGACGTGTACACCCGAAGCTAGCGCAGGAAGGTCTGACCGTCAGGAATTTCTTCATGTACTAGCCTTATTCAATTTGACACAAATGGTTGTACTGACGACTCGCGGTGATGCTATTTTAGACCTTGTATTGACTACTGAGCCAGATCATGTACTTGTGAATGTTTTAGACAATATCAGTGTTCACAACGTGCGTCATTGTGAATATACTTTAGAGAACAAAAAGCCAGAAAAGCCAAAGAAAACAATCTACATGTACACGCGCACTAATGTTCATACGATTACAAATCAACTGTCGTCTTTTTCTTTGGAATTTTCGCGCACCTTGTCCCTGCGCACAACTAATGAAAACTGGTATCTCCTACAGACGCAGCTAACTGAACTAAAAGAAAAGTATATCCTTAAAATTGAAGTGACCACGTCAACCCAGAGCGCTTGGTTCAACTTACATGTCAAACGCAGCATAAATAAAAAAACGACTTTACTCGAAAGACAAACAGTCAAGATTCGATAGTGATTCGGAGCGTTACCGTGAACAATGCAAGATATGTAAGACAGAAATCGAAGCAGTCAAAGACAAATTCTTCAACAATAATATAACAACGCTCTTAAGAGAAAATACAAAAAAAATTTGGAAGGTAATCAACCCCAAATCATCTTCGTCATCACAAGTGTCTAGTTCCAAGGGTGGTGTACTTCTTCCAAGGTCATGTGTTGCAATGGAACTAAAATAATTGTTTGGTTCAGTATTCACAGAAGAAAATTCCATTCCATTTGACGTCAACTTCACGACTCTAGACTCGGTCATGAATGATTTAAGATCGCGGGTTCGAATCCCGGCTGAGGCGGCTGCATTTCTGATGGAGGCGGAAATGTTGCAGGCCCGTGTGCTCAGATATGGGTGCACGTTAAAAAGCCCCAGGTGGTCGAAATTTCTGGAGCCCTCCACCACGGCGTCTCTCATAATCATATGGTGGTTTTGGGACGTTAAAGCCCACAAATCATGAACGATTTAAATATTTCACACCAAGGTATTGAACAAGCTATTGAAAGGCTCTCAAACAATTCGGCAGCCGGCCCGGACGGCATCTGCACCAAAATGCTAAAAATAACTAAGCCTGTTATTCCCCACATTCTAGCTTCTTTTTTTCAGCATTCTATTGATAGTAGTAGCGTACCAGAAGCCTGGAAAATTGTCCACATCACTTCTATCTTTAAATAAGGTGACCGCTCTATCCTCAGTAACTATAGACCAATTTCACTAACGAGCATATCATTTAAACTTTTAGAGCACTATATATCATCTGCAGTTATGACATATTTAACCACGAACAAGTTCTTACCAAGTCAGCATGGTTTCCAGCGTGGCCTTTCATGCGAAACTCAACTATTCGAAATAATAACCGATATTAACGAAGCGATACATAATAAAACAGATGTTTATGCTCTCTTTATAGATTTTGCCAAAGCCTTCGACAAGGTCTTCCATAACCGCCTAAATATGAAACTGAGTGCCCTCAACATCAACCCTAATATTTGTAAATGGGTTGCTAATTTCCTGACCGATCGCTATCAGTCTGTCTTTGTTAATAATACCTTGTATTCATTAGTAAAGGTGAAATTAGGTGTTCCGCAAGGTACTAAGCTAGGGCCAATCCTATACCTAATTTACAATAATAATATAGGTAACCAACTGTCATCCGCAATCAGACTTTTTGCAGATGATTGTGTAATATACAGACAAATAACTAGTCATATCGATTTTAGTGCGCTGCAGTCTGGCATTATCCAAATCACCCGATGGCGCTACCAGTGGAAAATGGAAATTAATGTTTCAAAAATGAAGTACATTCAATTTACAAGATCCACGAAACCTGAGCTGCATTCTTACATGATAAACAATAGGCTAGTGGAAAATGTGACCACAATAAAATACTTAGGAGTTCATCTTGCACACAACCGCTCATGGAATGCCCATGTCGAGGCAATAGCCAGTAAGGCTTTAAGAGCTCTAGTATTCATTAAACGAAATTCACACTCCGCCAACTAATCCACCACACTTCTCGCATAGCCGACACTAGTTCGCTCGAAAATGGAATACGCCGCCCTTATTTAGAATCCAAACCAGCAATACTTGAGGCCATTCAAAACAAAGCAGCTCGCTGTTTTCACAGGAAAATATTCTCGGCTATAACCGCTATTAAAACGTCGTTGAAATTACCTAACTCGAAATACGTAGGCTTATCGCACTGCTGTCTCATTTCCACAAGCTTTATTTCAGTGAGTCATCTTTCTTATATTCACAGATTAAACCAGCTCATCGCATTTTTCCACGTGCGGATCATGCTTACAAAATACAATCCATGTTTGCCCATACTGTCACCCTTCGTAACTCCTCATTCTTTCTTGCGATTTATCAATGGAATAAACTACCAAGTGATGTTGTAACTGTGCGTAATCGCCACAAGTTTGTTAGCAGATTAATGGAGATGTGGAATGTAGAACCATCACACTTTGTGGCTTCCTTTCGTTTAGTCTAGTGGCAATATTACATCAGTTATCGCACACCTCGTTTCATGCCATACTGAGTGCTACATTGCATGACTATGTCTTCTTCGGTGCGAAATTCGTTCCTGCATTTACCTTTTTAATATTTTTTTCGTGTTCTGTCTAAATATTTCAGTTTTGCACCTAACCCTGCTGTATTTTAACTACCCCCTATGTAATGCCCAAATTGGCCCTTAGGGTATATATGAATAAATAAATAAAATATTTCATTATTCCTACACAATAAAATATTGTTACAGAAACATATACACACAGAGGGTCCCATAGTCGAAGACGGCAGCAGTACCCTCTGTTAGTAATAAATAGCACGAAGTTTAAAAAGAAAAAAAAAACGTGTGAGCAGGTAAACAGCAACAAAAAAGGTAATACAACAGTTATTGTACAAAGATAAGTACATAAATAGAACACAGCGGCAAAGTGCAATAACTGAAGAAAAAAAAAACTAACAAAACTAATCGTCACACAAGTGTTGCATTGTCATGGTCGCAAGCAACAACCTGTAGGAATCGCAATATACTTTATTGCCTAATTTTACATTTGCAAACGGAAACGTCTAATAGAATATCTGAATTGATGAAAAGATGTTTCGATAGGCAGGTGCACATCATTCGACAGTTTTATGGCGGTGAATATGGAGGTTATTTTGCCGTAGTTAGTATGTACAACTGGCAAAATGAAGTTAGTGTTGTGTGCAAAACAGGTAATATTTTCACTAGTAAGGTAACTGGAATCAATAAACTCGCATGAGAGCTGTTTATTAAGCTGTTTATAAAACATAATAGTGATATGATAGCTAAACAAACTTGACATATGGAATATGTTGTGGTCACGAAGTAATGGAGACGCATAAGTAATGAAGTAATTAGTGACTGATGGCTGCTGTTCGATCCACCTCACGGCAGCCCTGATCTCGAACGAAGAACTGCAACATTAGTACTTCAGAGTATCTGCAGGTACCGTAACAGCTCAGTAACTGAAGAGTACAAATGCTACGCTTTAGGTCACTTCGAATACTTAATGAACCTAGTAATCATTAAAATGAATTTTTTTCTGCTCCTTCATCCCGACTTCATTCTGCAGTTAGTCGTACGCAATTATTAGAGTTGCGATGCTCACTAACTCGTTGTCGTTTGCGATAATTGCGTATAAAATGCTACATTTCTTTAATTGTACCAAGCGGAATAAGCTGCATTTCTGCTCCATTAGACCTCGTCAAGCAGCATTTTCACGGCATTTGCTGAAAGATACTGTATTCTGTTTCTCAAGATCCCTCTCTCCCACACATGCAGAAAAATACGAGCGTGCACGCTTCCGCTGGTCACGACGCGCACGCGTCAAATTCAGGCGCTCGCGATAGAGATCACCGAGCGAGCCACGACAGCGCCGCCGCTACGATCCTCCGTCGGCGGGACGAGCGAAATGCGGCACGACCACTCCCTTTTGTTTCGCGGCCCCTACAAACGCATGTCATGGAGTGAATGTTTATGTTACTCTACGCGCACAGCTGCAAAAGCGCCCCGGTATGATCGCAAGCTGCGACCTGGAAAACAAAGTGGCTCACCACAGTCTTCTGGCGTGCGATACCGCCAACGCACTGCTGCGCCTCGGCGGCCTGCTTCGTGCAGCGGGTGCCGGAGGCGGTAATCTGCTCGAAACGTCCGTGCACGTCGTTGGTGTGCAACACTGTCGCCGTGAAGTCGGTTGTGGCGAGCCCTGGCAGGAGGAGGCATGCCAATAGGACATACATGGCTCGCGTGTCCGCCGACTCTCGAGAAACGGAGAAACCGGGCAGCGGCGTGAACGGGCCTTGAGGAGAGGCGAGGGAGCACGCGATAACGGAATGCGAGCTGCCGCCACTGCAGCGCTTGCCCTCACTGCCGCGCCGACGACACGGGCACCTGTTTGGATGATTTCCTGGCCCGTGTTTGTGCGCGCGCACTGGGTACTTCCCAGCCCTTCTCCCGACCTTCAGCGCACTTCAAACTGCGTTGCGAGACACTGGGTATGTCATCACTGCAGTAATTGCGCGTCCCAAGCGGAAGGTCGCTCGTTTTTTTAGTGTCAGCGCCCGAGGACGGAATCCCCCGGTATCTCGCTGGCGATTACGCTTTGTATGCACGAAATACTAAGGCAGAAAGTTTGTGGCAACACCTTCATTGTCTGTATTACGTGTGAACTGCACGATGGCGTAGACCATATCTCAGAAAAAAAAAAGAGCTGAAACTCTGTATTGTACATATACCGCACGAAAGTGAGTGCCAAGACCGTTGACCTCGAATGCCGAATCTCGAAGTAGAGAAGACACATTTATTGCTGTTCGCGTGGTTAGCGGCACTAACAAGCAGAGCGAGCGTTTTCACTTCTCTGCTTAGAGATGAAAGCCTAGCTGCGTTCATAAATATACATTGTCCTTACTTTAATTGCTTATTTATTTACAACTTTTCCAACATGTTTTTTCGAAGTTTTTTCGGGGTCAATCAGGCCAGAAGCGGTTAAAAAAACACACTTGAGAATGCCTCAGGGCCCACATACATTGCAGCACTCTGGGAATAGAAGCTTTCAACAAATATACTGTAGTTATAGCCGGTGCGAAGTTATAGCCGGTACTTAAATTTCTGTACATCTTAAATCTCTTTTCAGGACACGAATATGGTCACAGGCAAGCTACACGATTGGTTTGGGAGTGCTGGCCCACCTTGTTGATCAGAGGCGCAAAATCCATAAGCTCATGCTAAGTATGAGGCTGTTTTGCGATTGTGCATGGGCCTAAGGTGCATCTCTTTGATCCACATTCATGACACTTTTTAATAGTTTCCATACCGCATTCGATACCAGAGACACAAATTTGTTTGCTTTGAACATAACTTTGCTGGTTTGATTTTTGCTCTAACATTTTATTATAATGGTCACTGGCGCACATGTAGCAAGATGAATGCAGACGGGTCTATTACTCTCGAAAAAGTTCACAGTAACCTTAACTTCTCCTATAATTACAAAAAAGTGTCATTCGCCTGTCAGAATGCATGGTGCCATTCCCAGATTGCTATATTCACCGATTCTCCAACGCGACAAGCCGTTGGTGAATTTCTTGTTCGAAAGAATTACTTTCACTCACACGCCACACAGAGCTTGGAATAAGCCTTATCAAAACAACTATCATTCATAGCTAGATGAAAACAAACTAATATATATATATAAATATATATATATATATTGAATGAACTTGCAGATAGCACATTTGAAAAGGAAATCGTAATTACTAACGTTTCAGCCGTGGCACGGCCTTCGTCAGAGTAACTCTGACGAAGGCCGTGCCACGGCTGAAACGTTAGTAAATACGATTTCCTTTTCAAATGTGCTATCTGCAAGTTCATTCAATATAGAAAATACCCGGACCTGTCGTGCCTTCCCTTCAATTTATATATATATATATATATATATATATATATATATACTATATAAACAATGAAGTGCTAACATAGGACCCGGAAGTAAAAGTTCAAAAAAATCAAGCACGTAGGAAAAATTGTTTTGTAAAGGACTGACGTTTCGGCCGCGGGACCGGCCTTCGTCGGAGTGATGTGAACATGCGACGGTAACGCAATATAAAAAGGCCAGTAACGTATCATAGCGCTGTTATGGCTGACAAGCGGTTGTTAAAAGCACGTGGGAACAGTGCGCGTGATAAGACAAGAAAAAAATGAGATTACAAGCGTGCGAAGACGAAACGAATAAAAAAATCAGTTAACAATGAGTAAAAAATTATGAAGCCACATAACGTGTGTATCACTGGCACAAACATCAATACACGTCATAGGTACAACTGCGAGCAAGTTATCGATAAACATAAACGCGGGTATAACATCTTGTCATGATCCGACAACAAAGCTGAAACAGGGAACTAATCTATCTGCGTGAAAGCATAGCGGCAATAATAGCGGTGGTAGTCAAGGGTGTTTAGGAAGCTAAATGGGTAAAAATGAAAGTTTGCCAGCGCTTTCATTCATACCACAAGTGACGGCTTGAAACTTATAGATTAAATACGATTCTCGAAGTTCCCTTTCGTGGTGGGAACGGAAACCCGATTGAAGGATTGTGGCTGTAATACTATCAAATGAGTGGCCCGGAATGTGCACGTGTTTTGATAGCGGAAGGTTAGGAATGGTGGCAGCATGACATTTGTGGTTGTTAAAGCGATATCTGAAGGGCGTTTTGGTTTGTCCAATGTACTGTAATTTGCAGACGGAACATTCGAGCAAATAGATGCAATTGTAAGTGTCACACGTTGTAAGTGTCACACTACGACCCTCATCCTCAATGTGGGTAGCAACGACTTGACCTCTTCTACCGGACGTGTAACCTTCGGATAAACTACGTGACTGCTTCAACATCATAGCCAAGGAACGACCAGGTATCACTCGTTTTGTACGCCAGCCTGGCTACTGATGAGAGATACGATAAATTCAATATGGCCAAGCGAAATGATGGAATTGTTCGTTCACTGCAATCGAGAGGCCTGACACTTTCAATAGCCTACTGCAAACTTGGCGGCGTTCCAGTTTCGTGTAGTTCATCGACCATGGATTGGAATGGTTGCATTCCGCTCGCGTTTCTCGCTGTGGATGGCATCCATCCCAGCTTCGAGGGCGTCGCGTTAATGGCTACGCATCTCCAGAGAATGTGTTTTGGAAGTACAAATGCGTTTTCTTCTTTTTGGAAAGACACGGCTTCTTGCCTGCCGATAGAGCCAATGCGCTCTCGGCGGTCAGCAAGCCAGCCGCTCAATGGCTCAAACTTTCCTAGTCTCAGTGAATTCCCTGCCCTAACTGCAACCGCATCACAACTTTCGCCACCAGCGCCACTTGCGCCAGGAACTCGACTGTCATCGAACCAACCGACCCACCACCTAAGCCTCCCTGCTCCCGTGCAAGGTACAACGGACTTGAACCCTTCAGTGTAACAGCTGGCTTCCGCTACCGTGTCCCCAACCAGCCCGCCAACCAATCAACCAGGCCCTCTACCCGATCAGCGTCCACTAGGAACCAGACTACGACCTAGACCGCCCCAACCAGCAACGCAAAGCACTACGCTGACCAGTCCCCGAAAGACTCGGAGACCGAAAAACAAAGCGACAAACTGACTAGGTGAGCCTTGTGCCAGAAAGGCGAATACCTCCCATGCTTTCTTAAAGTTGAGAAAAACCGTGGAAAAGCGCAAAGTCATTTGTCCGCTAAAAATATCGCTCAATGGCATGAAATCCTTACAAAAGCCTCTTTGGATCTTACCCGTACTGTTCAAAACCATTACCAGCATGCTGTAAAAGACTCTCTAAACACGGAACGACAACTGTACGCGAGTGCTGACCTCAGTATGCATGAAATTGCCGAATTGGAAAGGTATAAAGTGAAGAAGCTAAGTGAGATTTACGACAAGAAATGTAAAAAGTTGCTCCGTGACAGCGTGGACCTCTCGTTGTTCCCAAAACAGGTAATAACGGCGGTCCCGACAAACTCGTTTCCTGAGCTAGATAATAGCACACCGCCGTCCACCAACTTAGTGAACCTTTCGCTTGTCAGTCTAAATAGGGACGAACTCCGCATCTTGTCACGGGGCCTCACCTTTTGTCCTGCAACTGGTGGATATGACGATTTTCAATTGGCTAAGGATTTAGAGAATTTTTCACGTAACATGCGCCTACGAGAATATTTCCATGACCATCCGTCCACTAGCGACAGGCAGCCAGTTGTTTTTAACAACAACCGTTGGACCCCTCCTGCCCAACGTGACAAATATCTAGATATGTATATTGAAGCCGTCCAACGCGACGTGCTTAAAGCCTACGAAAAGCAAAAGCCGTTTAAATCAAACATTTCATTTGAGGAAAGCAAAGCTATTTAATCACTGGCTAAACGCAGTGATATCGTGATAAAGCCAGCCGACAAAGGTGGTGCCGTTGTTATAATGAATAAAACGGATTATATAAGCGAAGCCCATAGACAGCTTAACAATCCGGTTTTTTATAAGCACCTAGAATATGATCCCACTGAAGAGTTTAAAGCAGTTGTCCAAGATACCGTCAACGATCTCGTAAAAGCTAATCAATTAGGCGACAAGGCAGTACGCTCCCTCGTCCCGCTCAGTCCCGTCCCTGGCAGGTTCTACTTGCTGCCCAAAATACATAAAGAAAACTGTCCTGGACGCCCCATTGTTTCGGGCATTGGCACTGTTACGGAGCAACTTTCCCGCTACGTTGACGTAATAATCAGTAGCCTTCCATGTAAATTCTCGTCCTATCTCAAAGACACAAATCGTTTTTTGTTGTACATTGACGAACTCGTGGTACCAGATAATTCCGTGCTCGTGACATTAGATGTGGTTTCACTGTATACCAATATACCCCATAGCGATGGCATCCAGGCAGCAATTCAAGCGTGCGAAGAATTATCTGATGAAAAGCCCATTGGAAGTGATACATCAGCTACCTTACTGAAATTAATCTTACAGCTTAATAATTTTGAATTTGATGGTTCCCACTACCTTCAAGTAAGTGGAACATCAATGGGAACTCGCATTGGACCTAATTACGCTAGCCTTTTCATGTCTGTTCTGGAAAATGATTTTATGAGAAACCGCGCGTTAAAGCCTCTTTATTATAAGCGATTTATAGATGACATTTTTTTTTATTTGGCTTCATAGTGAAAATGAGCTTTTATCTTTTATAGTTGATTTCAACACTGTTCACCAATCTATTTCGTTTTCGCATGAATACTCTCGTTCTACCGTTAACTTTCTGGACGTCACAGTTTGCATCTGTGACAACAAACTAACCACTAGGCTTTACAGGAAACCTACAGACAGGCACCGTTATGTTCACTTCAAAAGTTCACATGTTAAACATTGGAAAACCAGTATACCGTACAGTCAGGCGCTCCGATTTAAGAGAATTTGCTCTGAGCAGTCAGACTT